TACGTGCCAGGGACTCTATGAGATGATAGGATAATAGTCGAAGTTCATAATTGGCAATAAGTAACGGCAAAGCAGTTATAAGTGACTCACAGAATTGTGCGCAGTTGCGTATACAGCACACGACTTCCCTGAAGGCAAACACCTTCAGTAAGCGCGATGTCGATCACACAACGCGGTTCGAATTTGACCCTCGATCGATGGCTGTACCATCGCCGCACACGCGTCGAATAAAAAGCAAGGGACAAGTCCTTACTTACTAACAACTATAATTTGTAATTGCTGGAGGGGTTGCCCCCCTACCTGAAAATCCTGGCTCCGCCACTGGTTACTGTGGCAATGTCAAGAGACCGCTCCAGGCAGTTCACATGATGTAAACCATTTTTTGCACCGTTTATATTTAACAGCAACTATCATATGACGCACACGCATCACACACATATCGGATTTACAAACACCCGTCAGCATTGTGTTGGCTGTGAGCGATGAAAAGACAGCTTACGGGTCCTCGCGGCTTGTGTCGGTACGAGTCCATCCTGGAGCTAACCGCTCACTCCAGGGACTGGCCGCTGCCCGAAGCCTGCCCCACACGAAATTACTCCTCTCATCTCACCACGAAGCCTTCGTGAAACTGACGAATCGGTCACTTCGTCGCACTCATTCATACTGAACGAGTTTTGGGACACGTACCCATCGTGACGCTGAAAAAACAGCACCACAACCCTACAGTGCTGTAACAATTTTCCGATGCATTGTCATGAAGGGTAAAAAGGACGTGACTAATTTTTATTTTCTTTTAATTACGAGACTTGTATGATCATTTACATACACACGAGCGTCATGCACCGTGCACCAGGGCTTTGCAAATGATTGAGTTCTGCAGTGGAGAGCGCCGTGGGACAACGCCAACGTCACAAACAGGAGCCTCGTCGCCAACCCCAGCGCAGAAGCACCTGGAATGGTCCTACCGAGGGCCGGGATGCACGGCGGGCACGCGGCACTAGAGGAGCAAGATGAGAAGCAGCCCCTTCCCCACCCCCCACCGGCATTGCGGCTGCGGCTGTCAAAGCCAAACCGTGGAACCGATCGTCCAACAAAGCCTACTCGGCTCATTCACACTGCACACATTCACAGCATCATTCCCGCCAGCACAGAACCTGGCTAATCACTCTGCCGTACAGAAGAAAAGAAAAATAAACCTACAGTATGTGAACCAGTAAAGGGTACTTGTATCCTATTTGCCGATTCCTTGAGAGGTAGAAATATCCACAGCTCACCAAAGAACATGATTACTATTCAACGTCCAAGGATGGAGGTCATTTTCAGATTTCTGGAAACTGTCTGATAATGCTGGTTGCACCTACCAGACAAACGTAAAAGAAAAAATGTTCAATGTTGTGGATTGCTCGTCGTGTGCTAAAGCAGTAGTATATTGACTCAAATGGTCGAGCGTTTACGGCACACAACTTACTTTGGCGATTGGACTAAAAAATAAACTAAGAATCAAAATGCTTTTTGTTAGTGATCAGGAAAAAATGAACTCATACTCAGTCTTCATTTCCTCTCTCACCTATTTGAGGTCGTGATTGAATTTGCTCAGAGTGTTCCACTATCACATAAATGGCGACTTGCGATTGGTCAATGATGTTATGGACTGAAGGTGGCCACTATTAGTATTGTACGCTATTTTGTATACAGATATGTAGCAGCAAAGGGGCGGGTAAGCCCCATTACCACGCATCGCTAACCTTACTTGTTGGGCATTGGCAATCATTTATTTTTTATTCAGGGATTTTTCACCTCAAGCAATAAGCAACTCACGCTGGTCAGCATGGTGAAGTATGGCCAATTACTTCCATGGCACGATGAGGCCTTCATGCCATCCTGAATACGGGTTTTTAAATGCACATTTTCTCTTAATGTACCCACAAGACACGACGAAGGTTACAGAATGATCACTTCTCCTGTTCAAAATTTACATATTAATAAAGTGCTGCATTTTTCACAGACCGCACATGTTAACATCTGCGTCTTTAGTACACTGATTTCACACACGCCTTAAGCATTATGAGAAAGCCTTCTATCAGCTCACTCCACCAAACAAAAGCCTCCCTGGAGTGGTCTTCTTGCAAGGACACATTGACGATAAGATACAATGCAATTCCACCTTGAGATCACATTAAATTAGCAACCGGGAAATATACTCATATTTGGTAGTTGCCATCACAGAACCAATCCAAGCAAGCAAAAGCAGGCACGAACGACATCGAAAATAAAAAAAAGCGTCACCACGAACTCATAACAAATATGTTTACTAAACAACATAGCAGAAGGTAGCAGCTGCATTACCGTCTGTGGCTGACCTAGCAAAGGGCATGGCCATTTCCTACAAGAATGAAATTTACTTCTGGATGAATGCCTCCCAAAACTGTCAGTCATGGGGGTTGCTTGTTCATACTTCACCACCCTGGTCATCGCGGGTTGGTAAAGGAGACGGCCTTGAGCACCAGTTCAGAGGTCACTCAATATCGTTGTTCGCCGTGGCCAGGAATTTAACAGAGGTCGTCCGGGCTTTTAGCGATTCGCACAAACGTGTGTAAACAAGAAAACGAAAACACGCGGCATCTTCATAAAATCGCCAGCATAAATGCTCATAGTGAATTGTATCGCAAGGGGTGAGTGTCATGCTACTGCTGGGCGCGGTTATCTGGGCTTGACCACTTGAATGTGAAATTGTCGTTGTAGCTCTGCGTCTACATCAGCCGTACGAAAGGAGAAACATAATTTTACGCATCCCGTGCCTGCCCCAAATTATATTATCTGTCACTGACACCAGGGTAACACTTAGCATCTCCGTGCCGGACAGGACACATTGCCGCCAAGTCATAACCGTTGTCTATTCCAATATGAACAAGCATCTGAACTCTCAAACGGCGGATTCACTCTCACTACATCCATACAAATTCACCCACGTGCATCTACACGGATGTTTTATAAAGAGCCAGGTGCAGTTCTGTATTTGCAAATATTCCTTGGGTCTTTCGGTAAAGTCACGGAGATAGAAAACATAATAACAATAAAATAATAAAAATGAAAATCAAGTGAATAAACAATAATACAATAATTTTCATTATTTTATTGTTATTATTTTTTCTATCTACGTGACTTTACCGAAAGACCCAAAGAATACGAATTCCTGCAGTCACGAAAGTTTTAAGTCAAGATTTACTTGTTAGTCACATTTTACGTACTGCACTGCACAGGGATATGCATAAGCATTTGATAATTATCATAAAAAAACTTATTTAAATCCGAGTGTGTAATTTCGTATGCGTAACGTTAGACAGGGCACAGCGGTGGCAAGATGTTAACTAGCTCGCCTGCTATACAGGAGACCGTGGGTTCGATGCCTGTTTTTTATAGTTTGCATGTTCTTCTCGTGGTCACGTGGATTCTTCTCGGAGTCCTTCGGTTTTTTTCTTCCACATTTAGAAAAATGCGTTTCGATTATTTGGCTGCTAATAATAAGCTACTTGGTTGAGCTAAATAAGCCACTTCATTGAGCTATCTGTGGCAAGGTCGCTTCTGAATTTTTTTTTTATAGCTAAGTGGGCCTTACCTGGTAAAATAAATAAAAATAGACTGAAAACACCCGAGTGATTGACGGCCACTTTGGAGAAGGGTCAATGATACCACCTCGTACGTGGAAGCGAGGTGGATAGTGGCATAGTTGACGCTGTTCATTCAGCAGTGGATAGATCACTGCAGGTCGTGATGAAGTTAGAGTTTAATGCACGTGCTAGTACAGTAAAGCAACCCGTGTTATTCACAAAAGCTTCCGCCAAAAAGAAGACTCTTTTGTATATGTCGGTGTGTCATGGTCAGATTGGATAATTGTGGGATATTATTCATTGACATTTCAATCTATTCCATTTCATGGCCCTGTTTTTTCTTCACACTATTTAAAATTGTATCGTTAAAATTGTCGACTAAAGGGGAATGTCAGCTAAGGAAAGTAAACCGAAGGGAAACAGAAAATGTGACGATCTGCTCTAAATAATATTTCGATTATAAACCAAAATAGTGAAATTTAACGAAAGGCTCACTGACATTTCCAGAATTTCAGAAGTGCATTTAGCAATACGGTACGGAATTTAATACAGAATTTAACAAATACACTTCAATTTGCAAATGTTATTTTAAAATCTCATTCCGACATACCGTGTGCTGTAATACCGGGTGTTCCATAAAGTAAGCATCCACCGATACATAAACACAGAGTGGTATGAATGTTCCCAACATTTTTCCTTATATTCTTAAGTCTTTTTTAATAAAAGTTAAAAACGTGAGTGATCTTCAAGGAGATTCTAAAGAGTCACACCTGAGATGTTGGCGATTGCTCGGCACTCAAATCTCGATACCTACTGCTGGTGCTAGGCTGGTGCTAGGCACCAGCAGCACCATGGTGGACACGTGGAGGTTTAGAAGGGTGGCACTCGTGCCAATGAAGTCTTCATACTGCCAAGTGTATTGTGTATGACTTTATCAAACTTGGTCACTTGCCAGTCTCGCTAAACGTACACTATTTGACCATCATACAATCACGGCAACCTTTTGCAAATAATCAAGAGCGCGGCTCTGTTGTCAATTTATCTCCTGTAAATCCATCTCCTGCTTGATCTCTGCAGTTTCTTTGCTCGCGCCAGGATGACGTACTTCGTGAGTACTTGTGTGTAAATGTATAATTAAATGTTCCGTTTCTTTAGAACGCATTGTTAACCAGCTGTACGAGTATATGCAACGCGAGCTCAGTTAGCGTTAGAGCATTCGACCCGCAATAGTTTAATTAAAAACAAAACTGGACAACGTCATAATTTCACCCGTAAGCCAACACACACACAACCCGTGACCACGATGTCACAAGAACGCCGCATTAATTCGCGTAAGTAGCCCTCCCGACGTGCGTAACGTTGGCAAAACTTTTAACCAAGAAAGTGAGTAACCTGTCAGTGGGCGAGGATGCAGGGACGCGGACGAAAGTGAACTTGACACAGACGCAGTTACACGAGCGTGGCTCTGCGTGGAGGTGTCCGCTACACCTGGAGGCGTCGACTACACCTGGGAGCAAGAGAGAGAGAGAGAGACGAGGGAGAGAGAGAGGCGGAGGGAGCGAGAAGAGGAGTCTGAGCGCCGCATGCAGTGTGCGGGGAGCGACTGCGCTCAGCAGACGCGCCTTGCCACGAGGGGAGGGAGAGGGGGAGGGTGCGGGGAGCGGTGGCGCACTGATTAGCGCGCTGCGCAAACGAACTCAGCATCCTGAGTTCCATTCCCCTTTAACGGTCACCAACGAAAGTGACGATTATTTGAACCTTAGATCAACTCAGCCTGAAATGAGTACCTGGTGCAGGCTGTAAACATCAACGCTAGGGAGACAAAGACGGCCTGACCTAGGACTTACCACACCGCTCCCTTGCGTGTCGTTTTGGCCGCCATAGGTGCTCGCAAAAAGCACTTGTGTAGACTCGAGGGGGTTCTCAGATGGACAGGTGGTGCATCTGCCAGTCATCCCCAGTCATTCATCCCACGGCACCGGGGTCTCTCCCGTGACCTCCTTCCTGTCTGCGAGCCTTCCACACTTCACGTGGTGGCTTCAAAGTGCACCTATCCTGGCACAAGCGTCACCGTCGCTTCGCGGCGATTGATGCTGTGTTGTGCACCTGTGGTGTTGTGTACCATGGGTGGGATGTTTCTCTTCCTCCGAAGGGTCGATGAATCGCAGAATTTCTGGCCCAGCTTGTTAGATTCTGTTCCAGGGCCAAGTTCGTTTTTTTCAACTCGTTTTAATCTGTTTCTCGTAAACATTTTCCCCGTATCTTTTGTAGCTGTACAGTTATGTTCATTCTGTTAACCATAAATATAACATTATCGTATCACTTGTATCAACAGAAAACAAAGATATTGTTAAGCATGCAAATTGCGATGCAACGTGAACTTTATATATAAACAAAAATGTAATGAATGTATGCAGCTATCATAGTCTTTAACAATATTTGTATGTGCGTAACGCCTTTGCTGTGGCTTTGGGTTGCGGTTGCATCCTCTGCCGTTTTATTATTCCAGGAATACCCCACCGAGGTGCATGGTTTTCCAAGAAAACTCCTGCACTCGGATGTTTGATCAGTCTCATTCTAGGTTATTGCTTTGCATGTGGCTATAAACCGGAGCGCACGGAGAAGACCCCACCACGCATACGCAGGGCGATAATACGCTGCACAATTCCGGATCACCGCCCCACTTGCTGTGCTGCCACACCCTGGCGACATTCTATATCCTAAGTATTGTACTCAGTGACGCTTGATTAGAGCACAAACACAATTAACGCAAAAAACTCAACACCTTCGTCAATGAAGTCTTTCAAATAAATACTGTTACAGTATAGGCGAATTAGACCTTCTTCACGACACACAATAAGCCCGGAAAGTGACCTATGATGTACGATTCTTTTTAAGGCCACAGTGTTTTTGACGAACGTGTTGGGTTGATCTTTTGTTCTAAACACAACTCGTTTGTGAGTCGAGGTTCACAGCCGCACCACCCACTCCCGGCGGCTGTGAACCGCCACGTGCGATAGAGAGGCACCCGAGAGGTGAGCGACCAAGGTGAAAACCTAAAGCCAGGAGATTACTAAAACTAAACGTTGTTTTTTTATTTTACCAGGTAAAGGCCCACTGAGCTCTATATATATATTTTTTCAGAAGCGACCTGGCCACAAATGACAGCTCAACGAAGTGGCTTATCATGTGGAAATTTATAGCAGCCGAATAATCGAAACGCATGATTCTAAACGTGGAGGGAAAAACCGGAGAAAAATCCACACGACCACGGGGAGAGAGACGTACAGAGTCCAAATATACACGCGTCAGGGTAGGGATCGAACCCACGCCCTCCTGTATACCAGGCGAGGTGGTTAACATCTCCTAGCCACCGTGGTTGGGACAGCAGGGGCACAACGCTGGAGATCGACTATCGACTGTTTCGGCACCCGAGGGATTCTATCAGAAGAAGGCTATGGCGAGATGTGATTCTACTTATTTTACTCTTGTTTACTCAGCAACGCCTCGCAATGTCTGAAGATTGCTTTTTAGGAGGGTCCTGCTAATGTTTTGCAGTAGGGGGAATTTTACCAAGAGAGTAATAGGTAATTGTTCAGCATTGGTTTGATTGGCCAATACCAGTTAATTAAAAAAAGAATATTTTTATGACCTCCCACGTGTGATGTGAATAACACCGGTGTCTTTCCCGTGACCTCCTGCCAGCGAGCATTCGACACGTCACGTGGCCTCAAAGTGCACCTAGCCTAAAGCTGTGGTTGGCGGCTGCTGTGGTAGATGTTTGCGTGGGCGTTAACATCGGTACACACGACCCGTGCCTGCGTGGCTTGTATCGGCTGATGTGCACGCCACAGAAGAGGGGCGCAACACCTCCCACATCACACCGCGTGCTTTCAGCCCTGGAGGGAACCCACCAGCCAAACGTCTGTCTCAATGCCGCACACTCACGAATGGTTTAAAAAGTATTACCGTATTCTCCAGACAACAAGACGATGCGTTTTCCCCATTATTTAAAAGAAAAAAATCTGGTAATCATCCGGTAGGTGTGTGTGTGTGTGTGTGCTTCTATGGCCACACACCCCATTCTGTGCCGTGCCGGCCATCATAGTTGCTCGCTAACAGCACTTACGTATCTCAACAGTCTGCTAAGGCTATATGGAGGAATCGTTATCTTTGTCTTGTGCTTATGTGACCAGATTCGTCTAACTTCATTGACACCTGGGGCATCTGATAATGTGCAAAATATTATAATGTAATGTGGCACATTTAATGGAGTGGTTAGTGCAGGTCTACCAACTGGGGCTGGCAATGCTCTGGCTCTCTGGTTTTTCGAGGCCTGGCTCTGAGACCACTCCTGTAGCTCACCTCCAGGTCCCAGGCTCCGTGCTGACTCCGAAGCTGAGACCCCCTGCTCTATCTCCAGGCTACCTCGAGCAGCCCCTGCTCCGGCTATAGAGCAGCTTCACATGGCTGTTGCAGCTCCACATATTTTCCTTCGCTCCAGAGCCACAAAACCCATAATTATCATTCATGCACGAACCCGGCAACATGGGTTCTATTCCTGGCCATGGCTAACTTCAGTGGCGGTTATTTGCACAAGTCCTGAAAGCTGTTATCGCTAATTAATTGCCATATTTCCAAGGACAAAAATGCATCTTGGAATGTGTTACAGAGGCCATGCAAATGCATTTTTTTCTCTTCCTTGTTTGTAAAACGGTAGATGGATCTGCTCTGGAACATCAGCTCTGGCTCCAGGCTCCGGAGCGCTCCAATAACCCCAGCTTTAGATCCAGTGACCCAGCTCCATCTCGCCTCCGGCTTCGTTTCACAACGTAGACATACCGGAAAACTCCACTCCGTCTCTGAGGTCTCGGACCCAGAGCCTGTCCATGCCTCATATCACCTCCGAATAGCACGGTTGGCTACGTACGGTGCCGAAGAAATTCATCATCCATACATCAACGACGGTGAGGGAAACTTCAACAATCACCGTGACCAAAACGGCATGAGGGCGGGGGAGAAGGGAGATTGACAAAGTGCTCAAAATTTGCAGCCATTTTAATTAGATTTAATTAGCTCTAATGAAAATATGACATTTTACCTATAAAATTACATATCCCAGCATAAATGCAGTGTGCAGCTGTGACACTTTGAGTTCAGTCATTTTCATTAAGAGGTTTCAAAATGCCTTGCGAACAATGGCTTAGCCGTGCAAGCACTTGGGCTGCTCCAGATTTTTGCTCGGCGGTGCATGGGAATTAGCTGCTGTATTTCACTTTCATTGTGTAGTGTGCATTCATGTATATTTTTTTAAGCGTTAAGACCTGCTTACCTGTGTGGAGAACACAGTTCATAGCAGAGAGGTGACTTTTAACAATACAGTACTGTATTTGAAAGATTTACAATGTTAAAACAATTCCATCACTCTGACGCATTCGTTTTCATATTTTAGTGCGGCAGGCTATACTGAGCTTGCAAACTATGGAAGCTAAATATACTGGCTATTCTTACACCAATTTCAATAAACGAGGAACAATCATGAACGCAATTGTATTGCTGGGTGGACAGAGGTGAAGGGATTTAGGATAGTTACCCACCCACCCAGCAGTATAAGTAGCCCACAGTGAGTCGTGTATGGAGGGATACAGTGTGGGTACTCCTACTTTTTCCAAGACGTCTGGCTAATATGGAAGAGTAGACCAAATACTACCTCGAGGGGCCCTCGAGGTGGCTCTGGTGGAGGCCCTTCTGGCAGCAATGGCTTGAGCTAACAAATCCAGGGCTGCACTTTTACGTTTTGATCGCTTTACACGCGAAAAACAGTTTGCATCATATTATCTCTTCTCAAACGTTTGAAAGGGCACCCTCAATGGCAGCTGTCCCTGTGGGCACCAAAGCGATTTAGCACTGGCCTGCGAGCAGGCATCCATCTGCCAGCAGGGGGTGATGATTGCTATGTAATGCCAATTGAGTAATTTGTTGGTCATTTTCGAATTTGGAAAAATTAATGTTGACGCATGACGAAGACACAAAATGACCTACCAATTTCGAAAACCGTCCACTGTGAAGATGGCACGCATTTTATGGTTAATATACGCCACAGTAATAACCGGGGCTATCTCCCGAGCTTGAACTGTGAACCTCTTAAGTAAGTGACGAATGCACAACTGCTAGGACACGTCAGTGATTAACCCGCTTAACCTGAAGCGTGCAGCATGCAGCTACTGAAAGCTACGGCGGATAAATGTGGAATCAATAGAATAAGATTAATTCAGAATCAGTGGTAACGCGTCAGGGGACACAGAGGAAGAAAGTGTGCTCCCATACTTTAAACACTAAATCCCGCAATCACCACGAACAGCAGTTGAAAACAACACGAATGACAACCAAAGCAAATATACTGCAGGCAGAAGGGAGACTAGAGATGCATAAAAACAACAATATTTATTCTTTGTCAATTATAACGACAGAATAATCCAATTGCCTGGAAAGAAATGCCATCTAAATGAGCTACCCTTGACAAGCTATTACGACAGCATGCCCTCACTATCATTACTCACGCTGTAGTGCTAATGAGACTGGCCTCTTTGGGCAAGTGAGTGCATTGACACCACCGCTCACAGCTGCTGGTGGGTTACAGATGATGATCAGATTATCATGCAGCCACACCATCTCCCCAAGCTGCAGAGCTATGCCTCACCAATGTCCAGAATTGTGATTCACCGGGATGATTGGTGGAATTGAAAAAGATGAAGGCCAGAGACAGTGCAGCGTGAGTGCTGAGGGATCAGGAGGCAGCAGCTGGTGAGCAGGGGAGTGGAATCAAACGCAGAGTGGTCTCAAAACTAAGTGGGACCTCGTGAACCGGAGGAAAGAGGGGTCCTAGAAACATGCGTGAAAAGGGGCAACGATCCCCCGGTATGTCCTTTCACAGACTGTAAGGCCAGGTGCTGTTACCGAGCACATATGTAGTGACGTATCTCGGAGACGCTAATTCTTGGAGGCAGTTATTTTATTTTACCGAGCACCCTTTGCACAATACACACCCTACGCTGGTGCACACTCTTTTCTCTCTCTCGTTAATACACAACTCTACACTGGTTGCTAGCCTATACACAACGCTAGCCGTCTGACACTGACGGCGCTGAATCGAGTCAGACAACTACCCTCTAGCAGCGCAATATCAGGTGAAGACGACAGCCACGATGGCGACGAGACGACAGCGATGATTCTATTGTTTCGTTGAGCATTGGAATCATGTTTAATGCACGTTATTTCACTGATCGCTATCATTTGTAACGTTCAGAGTGGTTCAATCTTGATTTGAAGCTTTCGTGACTGCAGGAATCCACACGCTTTGGTTCTGACTTTACCGAAAGAATCAAAGAGTATTCAGAGTGGTATTTTCACGCAGGTCTTTCTTGGAGCAGAGACTTGGTCTCAAAGGTTTATTGCCGGGTGAGAAATATCTCTGACACACAGAGGGGACACGGCCACTGAGTGAGCAATGAGCGGCACGGAGGAATATTCATTATTTGTTGCGTTCCCAATTAAAGCAGCGCGGCCGTTGAAACGATGTCGCAATATTCATATTTCTTTTAATCCTTGCAACCTCAGTCCACCCTGCGGTACAAATGGG